AGGCTAGAACTATAATAAAAATTAGTTATATGCAAAACTCTTGTAGAGACCATAATAAACTTCCTTTTTCTAAAAATTGTTAGTTGTGGCAAACATTTATCCAACTAAAAATTATCCAGGTAGCTAATAGCCCTTGCTTGTTTGCATTCCTAGCTAATAGTCCAATACGTCCAAATCAATAATAGACTGAATATTCCTCTTTCTTTCCATTTTTCTTTTCTCTATTGCACCATGGATTCATTGCTTCCATATCCATGACAAACTTCTTTGCCCAGTGACGGATGCAGAACAGGATTGAAGAGGAGGCTGGTGTCTTCTTCTTCTTCCTCTCTCTCTTTATTTTTCTTCTTTCCTCCACCCCTTCTTCTCCCTCATCCTCCCTATATTTCCATTGATGCACTCGCTGTAGGGGGGCTAGAGCCCCCCAACTTCCCCTTTAGATCCACCCCTGTCTTTGCCTCCATCTCATTGACAGCTAGCAGAGCAGGTAGATCTCTGCGAGGATCCCAGAGATCGGATGGGAGGTGATTGTCTGATTGATGGGGCAATAACCATCCAAAACATAGCTACTCCCTCCGTCCTATAATATAAGTTCAAATTCATCCTAAATTATAAAGGATTATAGATGTTCAAACCCTCCAAAAAGCAATATTCACATACATACCTACTATTAATATGTATCACCAATCCAAATATGATAATCCAAAAATAACATTAATAATGTTTATTATCTGCAAATATCAACATTAAAGAATGCCATCGGACAAATTTACCCCTCCACAAAAGGGTCAATAGCAAGATACTCCCTCCATCCTGCCGTTTTTTTGTTAAAAAAATACTCCTACTTCCCTCCGTTTCTTGTTACCAATGATTCACCGTATCTATTTTTTCTTCAACATTTTTTTTAACTTTGGCCTTTTTGCTTTTTTCTTATATACACCGTCTTTTACATACTCCAAAATATGTTGTCAACTACATAGCACTTAAACGATTTGAAATGAAACAATCCTTGAGTATATACACCCTTCATTTCAAAACGTAAGACCGCCGGTGAAATCTTTTATCAGTCAATATAATATCTCATTGTCGATGACCATAAAAGAATTTTTTATACCAACCATAAAAGAATGAAAGCAGTATGAATCCAATATATGAAATTTTATGACATGCATACAGGTATATGCCCTGTCACATATAATATGACACCGCTGAATGCACTTGTTAATGTAAAAACTCATTCCAAGCCTCCAACATCCCAAAAACATGTGTTCCTCGCCAATAAACGTGAACAAGAACAATCATGTCCGAGCTTCGCCTTTCTTTAATTAGAAGCCTGTTCGGTTGGCTGGTTCGTATCGTTGCTGGTTCGTTTATGTGAGAGAGAAGTACTGCTGGCTGGTTCATGTGAATAGTGTCCATGTGAAGGAGCTGGTCAGCCAGCCCAGCCAGCTAGCCCCAGCCGAACGGGCTGATTGGAAACATACAACTGCCTTGTGGTTCTTCTTCTTGACGCCAATTGCATCATGTTCTTGCTGGTTCGCACATAATTAACATATGAACTGAACGCTCAAGTTGAATGGTTCACACAAATTGCATCTTTTTCATGCTGCCGCGCACATGCCGCTGCATGTACTGCCTCCGTACTAAAACAAATCAATTTCTAGAATCACACTCAAGTCAAACATTTTGAATTTAACTAATTTTGTAAAAAAGGGTAATAACAGTATCTATGACTCTAAACAAGTGCATTGTTGTTCTAGGCCATAACCTTAGAACCCTGGTTGTCACCCAAGCACACCAAACCAAGAAGAAAAAAGGCCGGCGAAAATACAATCTAGGTAACAACAGCTTTATACCAACAGCTAGAATTAGGGTTTCCAAAAAAACCTCCTTTACAACCACCGTGGGGTACTATTTATACACTTCCCTAACATTTACATGGACATGAATGCCCTCTCAACTACCCTGATTCGGAAGAATATTCTCATTTCGCCTGGGCTCTTTGGTCTTTTCCTCCTACAACTTCCCTGGGCTCCAACAGCCCCGTTGCGGCCCAGTGGTCCCCTCCGCTGGAGCAAATGACGGGACTCCCGCGCCGCCTTCGCCCCTGGAGACGAAAAGGTAGAAAACTCCTATAAGATACAAGAAGATTATTCTGCGTAAACACAAAGTAAGCTGCATGCTTTCGCCTTGGGCTGGGTTTTCGTCCAGAAGGGCGAAAACCCTATCGCTACGCGTTTGTTCCTACGGCACGCCAAGATGTTTGTAATGACCGACAGGTCCTTTTTGCCATCGAGGGGATGCGAAAAGGGGGTGCGAAAGGTGGAGGGCACAACCCAACATACATTTTGAAAATATATTTTATAATGTATTTATTTCGTCATACTAATTTGGTGTTATAAATATTAGTGTGTTTTATAAATTTAGATAAATTCAAAATAGTTTGACTTAGGATACCTCTAAATTAAAGTCAATTTTAGTTTGGGACGTGTCAGAATCTGATACCCCTAGTTATGCATAGTAGTCCTTAAACATTTTCAAAATTTATTGTGAGTTTGACACAAGCTTGCACCATATAAGAACAACATAAATGAATCTCAAAGAAAATTATAGATGATGATGTTGAAGCAACCACAAACAAGATTCTAAGATTTTTTCAAAAATGTCGACAAATTCTATAAGCACAATTTCAAAAGAGTTTAGGGTTTATCACTCTCTCAGACTCTCACAACCCTACTTGATCCTTTTGGACCCTCTAATTCTTGCCATATACAAGAATCTAGTGCAATAAAACTGTGAAAGGTCCTAATGACTAGAGGGGGTGAATAGCCTATTAAAAATTTCTACAACAACACTTAGCAAACTAGTTAGACAAATATGAGGCGAATCAACTGTTGTGCTAGCCTACTACAAATACAAGCCACCTACCACAATTCTAGTTTCTATAGTCTCTATTCACACAATGGCTATGTCACTACACTAAGTTAGTGTACTCTCAAAGGCTAACTAAAGAGCCACACTAACCAAACTAACAAGCTCTCACGACTAGCTACACTAAAGAACTTGACAACTAGTTTGCGGTAATGTAAAGAGAGAGAGCAAGATGGTTATACCGCCGAGTCGAGGAATGAACCAATCAATCACAAGAATAAATACCAATGAAGACCAATCACCTCGGAATCAAATGATGACACAATGATTTTTTACCGAGGTTCACTTGCTTGTCGGCAAGCTAGTCCTCGTTGTGGCGATTCATTCAATTAGAGGTTCATGCGCTAATTGGCATCACATGCCAAACCCTTAATAGGGTGCCGCACAACCAACACAAGATGAGGATCACACAAGCCACGAGTAATTTACTAAAGTACCTTTTGGCTCTCCGCCGGGGAAAGGTCAAGAACCCCTCACAATCACCACGATCGGAGCCGGAGACAATCACCAACCTCCGCTCGATGATCCTAGCTGCTCTAAGCCATCTAGCTGGCGGCAACCACCAAGAGTAACAAGCGAATTCCGTAGCAAAACACAAATACCAAGTGCCTCTAGATGCAAACACTCAAGCAATGCACTTGGATTCTCTCTCAGTCTCACAAAGATGATGAATCAATGATGGAGATGAGTGGGAGAGCTTTGGCTAAGCTCACAAGGTTGCTATGTCAATGCAAATGGCCAAGAGAGGTGAGCTTGAGCCGGCCACAGCCTTTAAATAGAGCCCCTAACGAAATAGAGCCGTTGGGCTCACAGAGCACCCAACAGCGCACCGACCGGACACACGCCACCCAGCGTTCGGTGGCGCGATGAGCGCCATGTGGCCCCTCGGTTTAACCTCATCCACACGATCTCAATGGCTAGTCTGCTACGCGCCACATGTTAAGTTGCGACCGGATGCGCTACTCAAAGTGACCGGACACTCTATCACTGGAGTCCGGTCGTTTCCAGTAAGGTTCCAGAGACGGTTTTTCGCGACCGGATGCATCTAGTGGCTTATGACTGGACTCAGGCCTGCGTCCGATCAACTCATCCTCGACCTATTGCTTGCGTCAGCGTACGTCAGTAGGTGACTGGACGCACCCCCTGCGTGTCCGGTCCCTCTTTCTCTTCAGCGTCCGGTCAAGGGACCGAGGGCGGCCTTCACTACGCGCCACTAACCGGATGCGGGGTCAGAGTCCAGTCACTGCCCAAGGCAGAGTCCGGTCAATACGAAACTTCTCCTTTTGACCCCGAACTTCACCACCCTTGATCAAATGTACCAACCACCAAGTGTATCACCTTGTGCACATGTGTTAGCATATTTTCACAAATATTTTTAATGGTGTTAGCACTCCACTAAATCCTAAATGCATATGCAATAAGTTAGAGCATCTAGTGGCACTTTGATAACAGCATTTCGATATGAGTTTCACCCCTCCTGATAGTACGGCTATCGATCCTAAATGTGATCACACTCGCCAAGTGTCTCGATCACTAAACTAAAAAGCTCCTATCAATTTCACCTTTACCTTGAGCTTTTTATTTTTCTCTTTCTCCTTTTCAAAGTCTAGGCACTTGATCATCACCATGGCATCACCACCATTATGATCTTCATCGTTGCTTCATCACTTGGAATAATGCTACCTATCTCATGATCACTTAGATGAACTAGGTTAGCACTTAGGGTTTCATCAATTCACCAAAACTAAACTAGAGCTTTCAAACTGTCTAGCATAATCCTCTTGAGCGTTCCTAATTGCTTCTTATAAGCCTTGGATGAGACCCTTGTGTTGGCTTAATTGATGCATATGGCCTCCACCCTTGTTTATACAAGTAAGAGTCCTATTTTTAGTAGTATTCTACACTCAAGTCCTGATACCACACTTCTTGAGTCCTAATCTAGTCACCCTACAACAATCTCTACCTTAACTCTAATCATTTGAAGTCATCGTGCTTCTCCAAGAATTTGTTCTAATTCAGCTCTCTTGTCTTTAAATACTCCCACCACTTTGAGATTGGGAGTGCCCCTACTAGAGGGGCTCGTGCACATCACTACAATGTGTGTGTCAATGTTCAAGTTAGACTATTCGTTAGTGTTAGGGTACTATGCGGTTGACCATATTAGTTTGGTCGTCGCAGACTGTCCATTGATAAACGACAACAGAGCTCAGTTTGCATATTTTGTTGAGCTAAGATTCAAAAAACGTGAACTTAAGGGTCCTTAGAGGTCCACTCCTAGATCTCTGGTCTGCTCCTTGATTCTCTAGTGGAGTGATTCTACTTGATTATGGTGGAGGTGCAGGGTGTGTGGAGTAGGTGACAATTGATCCTAGAGTGATTCTTGTGGGTTTTGAATAGGGAGCACTGGAGAGTGTAAATGAAGAATCACTTCCGGCGAGACCCTACCGCACCTGCGGAGGCCTCCTCCTTCTCCTCCCCCCTCTCGCCAGAGCTCCACCATGGCCATGGGAGCCCCTGTTCCAACCTGGACCGGCCGCCTCCATCGCCGCTGGAACCCTAACGCCGCCCTCCCGCCGTCCCCACTGCCTGGTCGACCTGCCTCCCCCAACACCTTCTAAGCCCGCTGGTGAGGAGATCTACTAACCTCGAAACCCTAGCCGCCGCCGCGTCTTCTTGTCTGTCTCCGGTAGCCGCCGCCGCGTCTTCCTCTTCGCTCCGGTCACGGTCGGGCGACTGGTGGGTCGCGGTGTTCTTCTCCTTCTGCATCTCCGGTAGCCCGTAGTCTTCTCCTTCTCCGTCTCTGGTAGCGCGCGGGGTTGGTGGGTCGCGGTGTTTTGGATCAGGATGCGCCCATCCTGAAATCCGGCATTGTCATCATAATTAAATCAGAGCTGCAGCAACAGGGAGTACCACAAAAGATGAAGGCTGCTCCTCAATCCTGATCTACTGAGTACTGAAGCTTCTACTGCTTTTTTTTTTTTTACTCGAAGATGCATCTTCTAACAGAATAGCACGTGGCCAGCCTGTAAAGCAACCTCTTCAGTTCAGATGTACTAAGAAGTACTAACACAAGGCTAAACATGCTTGTTCAGCATTGCACATACCTCCTGATATTTTGTTCTGTAAATAAGGAATAGTTGAATTACTGTCTACTAATGCGCCTGGTGGCATGAACAATAGAATTGCTAATGTGTCTGTATCCAGGTGGAAATTCCAGCAGGTACTGGGGCTGTTTGGATACGGCCGCGAGAATCAAGGAGAAGCTGGCCAAACACCGTGCTGTGCGCATGATTTTCTCAACCGCCCATGTCCTTACCTACCGCGGAATTGAACTGAGTCTCCGATTTTACGTATCGCAGCTCCTCAGCCGCGAGAGTCTCCGATTTTACGGATCGCAGTTCCTTAGCCGCGGTTCTAGTACCACACCGCGTGGGGGCGAGGAGCCTATCCAAACAGGACAATTATGTGCAGATAGTAAGCGCTGAAGCAAAAAGCTAAAACAAGCCAGACGCTCGGAAGCGCGTAATCTTATACAGTGCCAAACGTCCATCGTCTCCACTGACCACATCTAAGGTCGCATCCACCTAAACCACCAATGGATGTATTTGGAGCTTTTTACAAAGCGAACAACATTGGCTGAAATCTTATTGCCATAGAAAGAAATCTACAGCTAATTTTGAGCCGATGATCCAGAACAACTAATGGATTGGAGCAAGCGTGGTGACGAAGCTCACAGTAGGCCACAATGGCAACAAAATGATGGCGATGAGCTGATGATCCTTTCAATCCAGTATTTAGCCATTTTAACAAAAAGACTATTCACAGTCTAACCTCTGAAGCAACAAGGAAGCAATCCTTGACTGAACTGGAATTAGATGTATTTGCAAAGTAACTAATAAATGGTCACTTTTCTTTTTTATAATCCTCCTTTTTTGCATAGAAGAAAACTCTCCGCTTGCACAGATTAGCTGAGGGAAGCTCTTACAAACACTTACTATGCCATCCACATATCGTACCGGCACAGTAAAAAAAGATGCCGACCCTGTGTAACACATGTTCAGGAAACTCGAGCCGAACTAGTTTAGGAGCTGAACTAGGACATCAAGACAACAGAAAAGAGCCTAACCGGTGGTGTAGTTTGCAATAAGGAACTTGCTTTTGTTGGGTTGGTCCTCGTGCAAATCTACCACTGTCCTGGTCGTTCGGCTGATAAGTCATGCCTAAAAGTACGGTTAGCTGATTTATTGTGAGAGAAAAAATACTATTCGTTGGCTGAAAAAGTTCGGCTTATAAGCCAAACGAACAGTACGCACATCTTTCACCTTCTCAACTAGCTCCTCCAGACCAGTGACTCCGAAGCTCTCATAGTCAATGATCCTCCAGACCAGAACAGGGCGCACATCTTTCACCAGCTCATATAAACTCTCGAAATTACCAAGCGGAACAGGGCAGGAGTAGCAAACAAGAAGCTCCTGAATCTCCCTTCCGAAACTGTCTAGATGCTCATTAAACACATATGAGCCATCTATATCTGGGTTGATATTTGGTTCATCCTCTGACAAATCATCTGATGAGCTGCCCAACTGCTGACATGCTCCTATCGTGCTTTCTTCAAGAGCAGAACTTCCGGTGCTCTTCTTCTTCAAAATGATTGGCGTACTTGAATAGTTCTTCAGGTTCCTATCACCAGAATTACAGAGGCAGATCATCTTTTTATGACCCTTCCCTATGACAACAAAAGAGTCAGCCAGCTTCTGGGCGTGTTTGATTTCCGTATCTGCCCGACCTCGCCGGCTGGCCTGGCAATGGCTGGCAAGAGTCCGGTTCAAATGCTACTAAGTGTTCGTGTTTGATTTCATATTTCTGCAGAGTCGAGCTCAGTTGAGAACGTGTTTGATTGGCTGTTCAGAAGAGTATGGTGAACCTAGACCTAGAACATGGTAACATAACCCCCCACCCCAACCATCGTCATTGGCATTTCATCAAACATATGCAGGGCTGCCAAGCGGTGCGCACCTCCACCAGCAGCTCGGGCTCCTCCGCGTACATCTCGCCCAGCCGCACGCTCACCCCCGCGCCGCCGCCACGGGCGACCGCCACGGCCTGCTGCCCAGGCCCGCACGGCGTCAGTATCACCGCAAGCACGAAAGCACCACCGCTGTTACGGGCACCGCCGCCACACTACGCTTGACTTGCTGCCACCCAAGGGCGCCAAGCGCGTCTTGGCCCACGAGGAGGGCTGGACAAAAAAACTCGTTGAGCTCGCTCGGTGGCACGGTACAAAAGTACTCTGATTGAACTCGTTTTTCTTTTAAAATAAAATGACTTGATTTGGAATGACTTTCAACTTCGGCTCGGCTCGTTAGGCCCGACTAGTTAAGCTCAGCATGAAGTTGGGTCTTAAATAATTCAGGAGACTATGATAAATAAGATTATGCCAATTTCCAAAAAAGCACGAAAAAACTGTAGTTGGCTCGATATCCAGAGGCCCAAGCGCCACCGGCCGTAGCCTCCGCAGACGGCAACCAGGCGGAGAGGGAGGCCCGCGGGGAGGACGACAAGAAGGTCGCCGCGCCGCCGCAGTCGGCTGCCAAGTGGGTGCCTCCTACTAATTCTCTCTAGTTGTGAATATCTCGGGATGTGGGATGCCCGATGCGTGGATGGGCACACCGCCGCTGCTGGTGCAGACCGTGCCGTGGGGCGGACTACAGTGGATGGACTACGGCGACCCCGTGGAGGCGATGGGCCTCAAGTACATCCAGTACGAGATCGGTGTCGCTGAGAGCACGCTACAAGATAGATGTCGCCGCCACGGCCTGCTGCCGCAAGCCAGCCACGCCGCGCGAAGCAGCCGAGCGCTGAGCGGTGTGCGCGGCCTCCACAGCCGCCACGGTGGCGAGGGCGACAGCCATGGAGAAGACTCGCATGCGAGCCCCTTCCATCGCGTCCATGGATGAAGAAGAGCTAGAGAGGAGGAAGTCGGAGGCGCGGCGACACCAACAGAGGAGGAAGGGAGCGGTCAGTGGTGGTTGAGAAACACGAGCCAGGAGGTGACTCGAAGCATCGCGCGAGCGCTGAAGCCGGCCGAGCCGCCGAGAAACGGACCTTCATTGCGTTTCCTGGGAGCCAGGAGAGAGAGGGTATTTTGCATCCAACGAGCCAGGCTCGGTGCTAGGCCCAGTAAATCAAACATGAGCTGTTGCAGCCCATGGGCGCGGCTAGGCCCATGGGCCACGTATCAAACACGCCCTTTACGACTAGCGACAGGCTTGTATTTCACGTTTGTCGGACGACTCATTTTGTTACATGCACAAGAAAATCTGAATCTACATGTAATATATTCTTTCATTGATATCTAATACCTCGTATTAAAGAAATAAGTTTATTCATATATCACTGTATTATAGACTGACCGTGACATGGCCTAGTTTGAATTGGCCCTGTGATGATCCATGTGGGTTGAAATTATGTGAGTTTAATGCCACCTAGTTATTAAAGAGGGTGACAGATTATGGGATTTGATACCACCTTGATTATGGAGTACGCATTGGTTCATAGTCAAATTAGGCATGTCCGAGACTGGGATTGAGCCTAAGGACTCGGGGCATGTTTGATTGCCCGTCACCGCAAGTCATGCCATGGATATGGCTGCCGCAACAAAGCAAGGGTGCTATTTGGTGGGTGAGTAAACTTTGACGTGCCATTGTTGCTTCTACTAGTTTGTAGTAGGTTTTTTCGCTACAGGTGTGGCGTTGGATTCTGGTGCCGCGGCTTTGGCATCGCTGTAGATACGACGTGGCGAGATCCAGCCACCACCCAAGCAAGCCCTCAATTTACATGTTTGGTTCAGGTCGATTTTCATGATGTATTCGAGCTTTACTCTCAGGATAGACCTCTGGCCCTATAAATATAGATCTAATTCCTTGCGTGTCACTAAAAAATATGACTTTCTTATATGTCATTATAGTTGTTGAATTCCCTTGTGTACTACTACAGTAATTTTTTATACCTTGTGTTCTTAGACAGAATATCCACCCAAGAGACATTGCTGCTGATTGAAATGACAATGTTGCCCTTAATTAGACTAACCAAACGGAGCCACCTAACCAACCTCAGGATCCAACTGGCATAGCCGCACAGCCAAACGCCTCTTGCCTCCCGCTCTTTTCCAAATCGATAGTCACATCCATTAGGGTGGGTGAGCGCATAGCCACGTACTCAGGGCATGCAAGGGCAGGGAGGCGAGGTCCCACAACCTTGCTAGTCAGGGCTAGGTGAGCACACCGCCGCCCCGAGCAGGGACGAGCGTGCATGGTCACGTCACTGGGGCCTTGTCAACTGTAATCACAATGTTTTTGAACCTGCCAAGGCAGCTCATCCCGACAATGTCACTGGCCTTGTTTGGGTTAGGTGTTGTGGTCATGTTTGGATAGGTGTTGCGGTCATGTAGCCTAAAGTTTGGTCTTGTGTATAGACGTTCAAGTTAATTAGTGATTGGAGATTGAGCAAAACATGAATAGAGCGATAAAATTCATGAAACTGCACTTTGGTAACTGAAAGGTCCTAATATGGCTAGATGAGGGTGAATAGCCTATTTAAAAATTTACAAACCAACTAGAACAATTTGATTAGTATGACAAATAGCGAAAAGCAAACTTGCTCTAGCTCTACAAGGATTGCAAGCCACCTATCCAACTATTCTAGCTACTATGATCACTAGACACACAATTTACTAAGTCACTACTCACTAAGAGCTCTCACACTTGCTACACTAAAAAGCTCCACTAGATGAACTTAAGCTACAAAGCAAGCTCTCAATTCTAGCTACACTAAAGAGCTTACTACAACTAGTTTGCGGGTATGTAAATGAGTAAGTAAGGTGATTAAACCGCCGCATAGAGGAATGAGCCAATCACAAGATGAATACTAACTCAATCACTGGGAGAATACCAAAGGGCAAGAGACAACCAATTTTCTTCCGAGGTTCACGTGCTTGCCAACACTCTACGCCCCCGTTGTGTCAACCAACACTTGGTGGTTCAGCGGCTAAGAGGTGTTGCATGAACCTCGTCCACATAATTCGACACCGCAAGAACCTACCCACAAGTGAGGTAACTCAATAACACGAGCAATCTACTAGGGTTACCTTTTGGCGCTCCACCGGAGAAGGCACAAGTCCCCTCACAATCACCAGAGATGGCCACGAACAATCACCAACTCATGCCAATCCTCCTCCGCTGCACCAAGCCATCTAGGTGGTGGCAACCACCAAGAGTAACAAGTGAATCTGGCAGCGAAACACGAACACCAAGTGCCTCTAGATGCAATCACTCAAGCAATACACTTGGATTCTCTCCCGATCTCACAAAGATGATGAATCAATAATGTAGATGAGTGGGAGGGCTTTGGCTAAGATCATAAGGTTGCTATATCAATGCAAATGGCCAAGAGAGTGAGTTTGAGCCGGCCATGGGGCTTAAATAGAGAGCCCCCACGAATAGAGCCGTTGGCTCTCTGTTCACTGAAAAGTCAGGGCGACCGGACGCGCCGGTCAGATCGACCAGACGCAGGACCTAGCGTCCGGTCCTTAGATTTTCGCCACGTGTCCCCTGCTTCAAATGCTGATTGCCCGATCTCAATGGTCATCAGTACACTTAAGTTGTGACCGGACGGACTATAGTGTAGGACCGGACACAGGACCCCAGCGTCCGGTCACTTCTAGTAAGGTTCCAGAGGCGAAAATTCACGACCGGACTCGCCCAACGTCCAGTCACTCATGGTCTTCTATGTGCACCGCCACATTTGCAGGACCGAATGCTGAACAGTGTTCAGCTAGAGTCCGGTCGCCTACGTCCGGTCAAGAGACTGAGGGCGGCCTTCACTGCGTGCCACTGCGTGTATCTTAGTGACTATCACGTCCTTCATTTCACCAACTTCTCCACCCTTGCTCAAATGTGCCAACCACCAAGTGTATCACCTTGTGCATGTGTGTTAGCATATTTTCACAGGCATTTTCAAGGGTGTTAGCTTTCCATTAGATCCTAAATGCATATGCAATGAGTTAGAACATCTAGTGGCACTTTGATAACCACATTTCGATACGAGTTTCATCCCTCTTAATAGTACAGCATCGATCCTAAATGTGATCACACTCTCTAAGTGTCTTGATCACTAAACCAAAAAGCTCCTATCAATTTTACCTTTGCTTTGAGCTTTTTGTTTTTCTCTCTCTTCTTTTCCAAGTCTAAGCGCTTGATCATCATCATGGCATCACCATTATCATGTCATGATCTTCATTTGCTTCACTGCTTGGAGTAGTGCTACCTATCTCATAATCACTTTGATAAACTAGGTTGGCACTTAGGGTTTCATTAATTCACCAAAACGAAACTAGAGCTTTCAATCTCCCCCTTTTTGGTAATTGATGACAACCCTTTCACAAAGATATGAATTGAAATTTAATTGAATCCATGCTGCTTGCCCAAGCATATTTACCATGTGTAAAAGGATATGGACAAGTTTTATGAACCCCAAATGGTAGCAATTGCTCCCCCTACATATGTGCTAAGAGTTTGGATTGTAGCTTGCACATATGCTTAGATAGAAAATATATGAGACAATGTCTACCAAATGATGCTAAGGTATAAGAGATGGACCTTTGAAACATGATACCAATCGGAGTGCACCAATATACCATCCTTAGCACCATTAGTAACTAGACATACACAAAAACTAGAATACCCCATGAGATCAACATTAGAAGCAAAGGTCTAGTTTTCATAAAATGAACATAAGTCTAGTTACTTAACCTATGCATGCTAGTTTTTTATTTCATCATTCAAGCCTATAACTAGCATACACCACACAAGTATGGATATTGAAGTTTAAAACTTGTGCTATACAAGCAAATATATGAAATGCACATTCAAATACAACATACAAGTTTATGAGCTTGCTCCCTCTACTTGTGTACAATTTTGATTGATCCCCTTACAATGTGATTTCATTTATTTGCTCCCCCTATCTTACTATCTTTGTGAATTTTTTGC